GTCAGTGAGAACGAGTCAAGGAGAGCGATACAGCGAGATCGAGACAACGAGAGCGAGACAATCCCTATCCCGGTCCCAATCCCTATCCCGGTCTACCCCAGTTTATCCCCATCTCGATCCCGGTCCCGGTCGTATCTGGACATGAAGGACCGGGCTTGAGTTTACCTTCTATCTCGGTCTCAAACCCGGTTCTAAATTTCATCCCGGTACCAATCCCGGTCCAAGATAAATTCTAGACTTCATTTCTGTTTTCCGTAAAATAACGTTTTTTTCTAGAAAAATGATAAAATTTCGTATCATTACAAGTTTGAAGAAGTACAATATTCTAAAATGATGAAATRGACTTTCCTATATTGTGAAAACAATGGATTCGAGATAACRGATTATGTGGGGATCGATCGATTGGATAATGTGGRCCAACAATCACGTGGAGAAAATCTTGAGTATTGGAAAAAAAAACGTGACTTGCGTGTGTGTGGTGATTTGGAGTTGAAAAAACAAAATGAGAATTGTTAAGTTGGTGGTTRGTGGGTTGGTTGAAAATTTATTATATCATAAATGCATTTATTATGAGATGAGGGCAATTTCGTCAATTTACATGATAAAATAAGGGGAGGGGTTAGAAATCTGAGGTGAAGGAATCAATGAATGAATAAGTAAAAAACAAAAGAAGGGGGTCAAAAATACAGAGTGGTTATTGAAAGGGGTCAAAAATCCCAATTTTGCCAAAAAGAAAACCTTTCATACCACGCCAGCCATGAGTTGACCAGTCAACAGTTGACCATCCTTCCATCTTCCTTATTTAAACCAGCAYAGCTCTGCAAGCTCAGCCTCACACAGCCATGGCTTCCAACAACACAATATTTTTCCTCCTGCTTTCTCTCGCTCTCTTACAGGCAGTTTCCGCCGTAGAGTACACCGTCACCAACAATGCTGTTGGCACTCCCGGTGGTGTCCGCTTTGATAATGAAATCGGAGCGGATTACAGCTTACAGACGCTGGTAGCTGCCACTGATTTTATATGGAACATTTTCCAGCAAAGCACAGCCGCTGACCGGAAGAACGTGGACAAGGTCAGTCTGTTCATCGACGCAGACTACGACGGAGTGGCATTCGCTAGCAACAATGAGATTCATGTCGGTGCAAACTACATCGCCAACTACGATGGAGATTTGAAGAGAGAGATAACAGGTACGTTAAACTAAAAACTTCAACGTGAGTTGGAAAATATTTTAAATGTTTATTTATAACTCTTAATATTATTGGTAGGAAATGATTAGAACAAATAAAAATATGATGGTTATTATGGAAGAATTATTAAAAGAAGTCGCTACAATATATTTAACTATCCCCAATTGACTCTATAACCATGGGATACATATTTGAAATAGTGGCAACCTCCCCAATTGACTCTTTTCATATTATGATATCTCGTTCAACCATTTCTAAATTCAAAATTACAATTATAGTCTTTACTAATTAATTTCGACTTTAGTTTATTTTGATTTATATATTTTTGAAACGTCCATTTTAATTAGTTTCGACTTTCAACATTTGTTCATCTTTTTCTTTCTTTGAGTACAATAAATGGAAATTGAGAATTCGAACTCATGACATCTTARTTAGATATATGTGTCAATTATCGTTGAGACAAGCTAATATTGACAACTTTGTTCATTTCAATGTACTTTAAAAAGGTTGATTTTTATGATCTCTTCTATTTCTATCACCAATTTAATATGTATAACATTTCATAAAATATCTTTAAATGTAGTCGCACATTTGTATTAAAAGATTTACCTTATGAGTAAAGTTATGTTTAAATTATGCAAATAAAGACTAAATTGGTTGCTTTTTTTAAAGTACACCCGATCAAAACAAACATTTTAATATTACATGGACAAAAAAAAGTGTACGAGGATCAAAATATAGTATTTAAGTTTTATATATATTTGATATATAATTCATATTTTGAAATCATAACGAACAGGGGTACTATACCATGAAATGACCCACATCTGGCAGTGGAACGGGAACCCATCAGCACCSGGCGGGCTTATCGAAGGGATCGCCGATTACGTACGGCTGAAGTCCGGCTACATTCCGGGGCACTGGGTGGGGCCCGGCGGCGGGAGTAGGTGGGACCAAGGGTACGACGTGACGGCGAGATTTTTGGACTATTTGGAGGGGCTGAGGAGTGGGTTCGTGTCAGAGCTGAACCGGCGGCTCAGAAATGGCTACTMCGCCGATTACTTCGTGCAGTTGCTGGGTAAGACGGTGGACCAGCTCTGGGCGGATTACAAGGCTGCCTTCGGAAATTAGAATTGTTTGTTGAATTATTTATAAATATGTAAGAAGGGATAGGGCTGAGATCCTTTTTTACACCAAACGTGGGATGAAAGATCGAATTGAGGAATAAGATATTTCAGGACCTGTTTGATTATGTTTTTTTTCTTTATTTGTAATAATAAAAAATTATTATGGYTTCCAACCTAAAAAATTCAAGTATCATAAAATAATTTTTTTTATTTATATTTTGAAACAAATTGAAAATGAAAACAAGGAAAGGAGAATTATTTTTGTTGTTTCCAAAATTGTTCTTAAAAAAAGAGAAACAAGAAATAAAATTAGTTATAAAGTGCTGAAATGCATCTAGTAGATTCTGCTGCTAGATAAAAAAAAATCTCTGTGAATTAGCTATGCATGCTTCAAGAAAAACTGCACAAATGTTCCCCTCCTCCCCTCGAACATATCCGTGAAGCCATTTGTACAGTTTTTCTTCTTCACGGATGTTTGATATGTTTTCCAAAATTGTTATGAAAAGTAAAAATAATTTGAGTGAATTAGAAATATGTTTGTAAATTATGTAAATTTGATTGAAAAGTTATATTGATAATTGATTTGAAAATGTGTTTGAAAAATGTATAAATTTAAATTTAAAAAGAAAAGTAAGTAAAAAAAGAAATATATATATTTTAAGTGAATTAGGAATATGTTTGAAAATTGTGTAAATTTGACTGAAAAGTTAGATTGATGATTGATTTAAAAAATGTATAAATTTAATTTGAAAAGAAAAGTACTGTAAAAAGTCAAAAAATAATATATATATATATATATATATTTTAGTGAATTAGAAATGCGTTTGGAAATTTTATAAATTTGATTGGAAAGTTCCATGAATAATTGATTTGAAAATTGTGTAAAATTAAATTTGAAAAGTAAAGTAGGTAAAAAAGTATGAGTTAATTAGAAATATGTTTGGAAGTTAAGTCGTAATTATTATCACATTTCCAAGTAAATTCCTATTAATGAAGAGACCGAACTTCTAACAGMATAATAGAAACTAAATTCTGAATCTTATATTCATAATTATTTTATTCCTAAATCTTTATAATAAATGTCAATGTTGTATTGAAAAAATTTAAATTACAATCATTGGTTCACTACAAGAATTTTAGAATTTTATTTTTTGGCGACATAATTTAAGGCGACCAATTAAAATTTAGTTGCCATGGGATACTTTTGGCGACGAAAATTACATATCGTCGTTGAAAGTATCCTAKGGGGACGAAATTTCTATTCGTCGTGGAAAATTTAGTCTTACTTTGAAATTTTTTAGACAAAACTTTTGACGACCAATTAAAATTTGGTCACCATASGATACTTTTGGCGACCAAATGTAATTTTGGTCGAAATGAGATTTTTTTATTCAAAATTTTTGGTGTGAAACCTTAAATTTCCACCGCCAACATTTTTAGCGAAAATTTGTGCGACAAAACTTATGACGACGAAAGCCATATTKTGTTGCCATAGGGTACTTTTGGCGACTAAATGTACTTTTCATCGCCAAAAGTTTTGAGAAAAAGTGGGAAATTCACTGCCAAAAATTTTTAAAAGAAAATTCAGGCGACGAAATTAGAGGTTTTGGCGACGAAATTTATTTGGTTGCCATAGGTCACGATTAAAACTAGCCCTCCCCCTTCTCTTTCATTTCTGCATCATTTTTCTCTCCCTCTCCCTCCCTTGCTGCCACCATTTCCTCTCCCCTCCATCTGCTCTTTCTCCTCCCTCCGCTCTTCTCCTCCCTCCCTACATCCGCTTCTCCTCTTCCCTTTGTTGGTCCGTCGTGATCGTCCATCCACCGTCGCTCTTCTTCCTTTGAGGTAAAATTTTTAATTGTTTTGTTGTTATTTTGTAAAAGTAATATAGCCATCTATTCTTTGTAGGTATAATTTTAAACTTTTTTTTTCTTTGAATATATGTTGTTATGGACTTGAAATCAAATTAATGTTGTCTTTTAATGGTAGATTTTTTAAGTCTGAATTTCGTTGTTGAAGTATTATCGTAGAGAGTTGAGAAAATTGATTTTTTTTTTGTGTTGTTTGTGCCCTAGTTTTTGGTTTCGATAAATTCTTTAGGAGCTACTCTAAGTAGGGTTGTCTTCTTTTAGAATTGTTTTCAATTCTTCAAGGTAGTGAGTCTTAGTTAGTGAATTAGGCAGGTTTGTACCCTAATTTTTTGTTTTGATAAATTCTTTAGGAGTGAGTCAATTAAATTCGTTTAGTTTTCTTAGTCAAGTTTTAGCTAGTTCAATGCACATAGTGCTAGTTAATTTAGAAGGGTTTATGAGTGAAACACATACGTGTAGTTTCATTTAGCCAAGTGTTACCTAGTTTGACATACATTTTAGGCTTGCTTGAGACTTTATTTAGGAGTATTAGAACAAGCTTATTTAGATTTAATTTGTTCATGATTATGAACTTAAACTATGCAATTGAATTAAATTGTTGTCTTATACTTTTCTGTCTATAATTGCTAATAGTTTGTCCATGTTTTTTTAATTATACTTGTTTTGATCCTACTCTAGTAAACACACTAGAGATCCCTTCGAATTAACTAGGTATGTATGCTTTATTTAAAACCATATTGAAACACTTATTGTATTTTGCATGTTTGGTTCTATGTTGTATCGTATTTTACGTTTAATTATTAGCTTGTATAACTATATAACATTTATTTGTTGGTTTTTGATTTAATGTCATGACTTGTTTTGGAATTGTGTATGACTATCCTGCAGTTATGATAGTCATATTATAAATAATAGAGTGCTAATTTATGTGAGTTAAGCATAATTAAAGTGGTTTTGTCAGTGTGAGATGTGGAGTGAATATGGATTCTTTTGTTGCTAAAGTGTACCTAACATAATATAGATTTTTTTTTTTCATTTGAATGCTTAAATTGGCGAGTTTATGACATGTGGGGTGAGTTAGACATTTATTTGTGAATTATGTTGGATATGGAATACAGATTAAGCTATGAACTTAGGTACACTTTAGCAMCMAAAAAAAAGAACATTCATGTTGGATATGRATCATTAATTCTTTGTATATTTTAAGTACATTTTGGCAACTTTGTGAACTATTTTAACTAGACTCTATTAAAAGGGGGTGAGTTTGTGACATTGTATCACATTGTTGCCACTAAAATACCTAACTTAGGTTATTTAAGTTCAATTGGAGTATAACTAAAAAAAAAAGTTCGATTGGAGTAAGTTGTGTGTTTTGAGATCATTTTGGATTCTTTGGCACCACTTAGTCACTATGCTTCAAGTTAATGTTTTATTTACATTACCGCTCATTTGCTTGTTTAAAGTTAAGTTTGTTTAGCTAAAATGTAGTGGAATGAGTTAAAGTATATAACTTTTTGTTCACATCGATTTATTTTTTGTTTATTTTTTCARGTTATTTTCATTGTTCTCTTGGAAGCTTTGGAAATTAGAGAAGGTTATATGAAGTCAAAAAAAGATAGGACTTTCTAGAATAGTTTAGAAAAAAGCTGTAATCGAAATTTAGCTTATATTGTGTTTGATTTTATGTACTAAACTGATTGTAAAATCAGTTTTTGTTTAATATAAATCTAAGTTGATATGATAATTTTGAATACGTGTTTACGGCGTTTGACTTAAATTTGAAGAAATATTTAGGTAGCAAAATTGGTTAAAAAAAAGGAAGAATATGCGTGTGAAGATTGGAGGCAAAATTGAACCTTTGGCAATGAAATTTCAATTTTCGTCGCCAAAGGTATACAGCGACGAAATTTGAATATTCGTCGCCAAAGATCTATGGCGACCAAAATCTGATTTTCATTGCCAAAAGTCTACAATGACGAAATCTTATTTTCGTTGCGAAAGGTCTATGGCGACGAAACTATAAATTTAGTCGCCAAAGACCTTTCGCGACGGGGCTATCGTGACCATTATGGCGACGAAAAATTTTCGTCACCAAAATCTTTTGTCCTTCAGCGACGATTCCTTCGGTCACCGAATCTGAAAATTCTTGTAATGGTCGTAAGAAATTATCAATTGTAGTAGGAATAAGAAGAAAATAAAATAACCAAAATAAAAAAATGGGAAAAAACTATCGAGTGACATTTGAGTCGACATGTCGACGATATAGGGGGAAACAACTTTCCCGTCTGTGTCAATGTGGAGCACCTCAACACGTCGACGTGTCGCTCGTTATTTGAAACCATGATTGTGACCCTTTTCTAATTATGTGATTCTCTGCAATATTAATTTAATTTTTTTAAGATTTGATTTTATAGTAATATCACATTATATTTAGTTTCACATATTAGTTACGGTGTATATTTAAATTTCGAATGTTGACATCTTCTCATTTTTGTAGATATTATCAATTTGAATTTCGTTTCACTCTAATTTTCACCTTTCAAATGATATGGAAAAAATAATTTTTAAATATATGTGTAGGGTTCTCCCTACGAATTTTTTATAAAATTCCATAAATAAAATGTAATTCTTCTTCACAAAATTAATTTTACAAAATTTCAATTATTTTTATCATTTTGTTTAAAAAAATATCAAATTTGAGAATTAGTAGGGTTCTTTTTGTGAATTTTGTTCTAAAATTCATAAACACATTAAAGTCTCGGGGGAAAAGTAGTGTTGAACTTTTCYAGGTTCCATAAATACATGAAATTTCCCACTAATATTAATTTCGATAATTAAAAACAATTTTTCATTAAACAGTTAAAAATAAAATTTTCAAAAATCACTTGCAAATTTTTTAAATAAAATAAAAGGGAGACTGAGTAGTGTTCTTTTTAAGAATTTGTTAAATTTCTTAAATACGTAAAATTTCTTCCAAAATAATTTTTTCATRTTTTGAATAACATTTATGTCACATATTGTTAAGAGAGCCCATTGATTTTGTGTAAATAACTACAAACGGTTGGGCTGTTATTAAATATTTGTTTTTTTAACTAAAAGCAGTTGGACTGTTATTAAATATTTATTGCTGTTACGTTATTGTTATGAGGTGAGCTGTGATATATTGTATAAATCTCTGTTTTTGATCTTTTGTTGAATGAAAAATGAGGACAT